AGAGACCCAACATTTTGAATAATAACGTACTGAATATATACTTTAAAATGTTTTAAACTGTAAGCCCATGACAAAATGTTTTAATGCATAAAGATCAAATTTATGAGAAATAACTGAATTTACAAATTCAAACAATATCAAACCAAAAGGATATGCTAGCATTTGTAAATTAAAATCTCACAATCCCTAATTGCATAATTAAACTTAATATTATGCACTTAATGTGATTGAATGCATAAAACAATCTAAGGAGTATGAACCAACTAATGAATATGAATTTAAACAAAATATTCATTTATTCATACTTAACCAAATATGGGCAATCATAATTCAAAAAACTAAATGAATTATGGAATTAATGGCAAAAGTCAATTGCCTAGAAAAAAACAAGATTGACTTCCATTCTCGCGTAAAACCAAGAACCACTAACATCCCTTTCAAGAAATGTCATTCCATCGTGTCGTAGGCTTTGGCCATATCGAGTTTCAAGGCCGTCCAACCCATAGCACCACTCGTCGTCCTCCTCAAATAGTGACCAATTTCCCAGCGACGATTATGTCATCGGTTAAGAGCCTATCGGGTACAAAGGCACTCTGCGGCGGTGAAAAAACACTCCAAAACCTCTTTCAATCTATTAGCCAATACTTTTGCTACAAATTTATATGCTACGTTGTAGACAACAATCGGGCGTAACTTTTTCGGGCACATTTTTCTTTAGCAACAGAACAATATTCGAATCATTGAATCCCTGGAAGAAACTAAAATTCGCAATACAGTTCAAAACAAAAATAGACAGATCATGACTTATCACGAGCCAAAAATGCTGGTAAAAAGCCGACGACATACCGTCCGGATCTGGGGCTTTCTCCGGGGCCATAGAAAAAAGTGTGTCTATCATATCAGAAATCGTGAATGGTCGCATCAGAGAGGTGTTCATCTCTATAGTCTATAGTGAACGACTTTGAAGCCGATCGAATATATTAGAAGCACATTGAAATTGACTATTACTTTGTTCACGATAAAGTAGCCAAGAAGGAGTTGCAAGTTCATTTTATTTGCACCAAAGATCAGATAGCTGATATTTTCACTAAACCTCTTTCTTCTTTACGTTTTAATTCACTCTGTCACAAGCTCAATGTTTTGGCTAGCCAACCTTACGCTTGAGGGGGAGTATTAGGACTATATTATTTGTATTAGACTAGAACTCTATTTAGTGTCTTTATATTTGTATCTTCAGACTTTGGTATTCAATACAACACAATCTATATTCTCATCATAGGGAATACTTTGAAAATATATTGTTGCATTATATTCCAGAATAATAATATCCATTTGGTTTCCTTGTGGCCCGATTCTATTTTAATGTACTTTAGCATGACACTCTATTTCTAGCAATCGTTATGCCATGGAACCGATGGTGAACACGGTCCTAAACGGTAACGGTACCCGTAAGTGGCACCATTATCTTCTTTTTTTTTTTTTTTTTTTTTTTTTTTTTTTTTTTTTTTTTTTTTTAAATTAACAGCGCGACTTTTCTTCTTCATTTTCACATTTCGCAGTTTCACTTCCTCTTCGCGCAAGATTCTTCAACACTCATAAATTATGAATGTGCAGTTATGAAATTATGAATTTTATTTTATGAGATTATGAATTTTATGTTATGAGATTATGAATTTTCTGTTATGAGATTATGAATTTACAGAAAATTCATAATTGCATAATTGTAAATTCATAATTTCATAACAGAAAATTCATAATTTAATAAATGTTTTTCTTTTATGAGATTATGAATTTTCTGTTATGAAATTATGAATTTTCTGTTATGAGATTATGAATTTACAGAAAATTCATAATTACATAAGTGTAAATTCATAATCTCATAACAGAAAATTCATAATTTAATAAATGTAAATTCATAATCTGAACATAGAATGCAAAATGTCGTTAACAACACATTAACTTATTTTATTTTTCCGTAAAAATGATGCCGTTTTGAAACGTGTTTACAAAGCATGGTGAACACGTTTTCACGGCATAATTTGCGCTATTTCTAGTTAGATCAGAATCAGATGAAAAAAATGTACGTACTGCCTAATTTAACTTGTATTTTGGCATTCGGATTCTCAGCAGAATTAAGTTGCTCTTTCATCCAAAACTGCAACATTAATTTAGATATGCATTATATTATTGTCATTGTTGTTGCTTTTGTGGTGGTTTTCAAATATTCAAGTATGTTTCAATACGAATTAATTAATTATTAATTATTATATAGCTTTAAAACAAATTTACTATGCATATGATATCATATTGTAGTGGTAGGTTTTTAGTGGAATTGTATGAATTCTGTTTGGAATTTTAGATGAAAAGGGAAGAATGAACATTACAAAAATAGCTATTTGGCAGTGGAGATACCGAGTTAGGCTAAGGCGTCAGATTAAGGTTTTGGTATGATTGTAAGTTTTTTTACAATTTGGGCCTCCCATATTTGATTATTTCCGTATTTAGCCCCAGGTCCGGAGAGACACGGCGACGAGCCTATAAGCCTCGAAGTCGAAATAAGGAGATAAGGTTTTAAATCTGCGTTTGTAGTCCGACCAGACAGACCAGCAGCGCCAGGGTAAGCTTCTTCTCCATTCTCCATTCTCCAACCCTAATTACAGTGTTGTGCTAAAATGAATGTGGTTTGCTTTGCTTTGTAGCGTAGAATGGCGAGCGCAATGATGAGTTTGAATCTAGTAGGAGCTTTCAAAGGACTGTCCTTAAATTCGAGCTCTTCCTCGGCTTTCGTGAGAGGTGAGTTGGGTCCGGTTGATAAGATATCGGTGTCGTTTCCGTTGAAATCTCCGGTAGCGTTGACAATTGAGTCGGCGCACAAGAAGGGGGCTGGAAGTACAAAGAACGGCCGAGACTCACCTGGCCAAAGGCTCGGTGTCAAAATTTTTGGTGATCAAGCCGCAAAGCCCGGCTCTATTATTGTTCGCCAGCGGGGTACCAAGGTAAGGTTTGCTTTTCACCTTTCTTTCTCATCACTTATATTATTCTTCATCTCTCCCCGCATCAATCACATTAATTAAAGTACCCTTCCTTACTGCTTATTTTACAACTTTCCAATTTATTTACACTTTTGGAAATTGAATCCATTAGTTTGTGCAAGCACTGAGTCTGGTTTTTCCCTCCCTAGACCCACAATATCTTTGTTGTAGATGACATGAGATTAGAAATTTTATTCTAGTCTGGACACTCCTATCCTATCCTATCCTATCCTATTGGAAATAATTCAATTAGGCTGTATTCTTGAGGTGTAGTGTAGTTAACAGAGAATTGCAGCCACCAGTTAATGGGTGCTTTTTCCTATTGTTACTCATTTCCTACTGGAGGATATATCATATAAGTGATGCTTTTGCTTTGCTTTGCAATGTGCAAGTGCAAGCAGCAGGGGAATTTTTGAAATCATTCTTCATGCTATATATATATATATATAGTTGATGGAAGCATTTGTTTAAGTTCTGACGTAAAAAACTATTTTTGATCTTTGGTTTACCTGAAAAGTCCTGATATAGATCAAATTTTGAACAGTCTTTCTATTGATCAGAAGGTTTTTTTTTTTTTTTTTTTTAAACACTTTTTTCCCCTAGAGCTACTCTTCATAAAGAATTTTCACGTCTTAAACTTCTGGTGCATATAGTGCATGGAAATCGAAGCTGGGTCAGACAGACCTATATATGATTGAGTTTCTTTATTTTGCACCTGTAGTTGCAAAGCCTTGATTGTGTACAGAAACAACAATATTGAGTTTTTGGGTTTGCCTGGAGTGTTATTCATCAGCTGTAATATCTAATGTCTTATCTATTGGAGAAAGCTATGTTAAAGAAATTGCAAGAATTTCATTCTCTAAAATCTTGGAAATGCATTGGCTTAGATTAGGATTTTTTATTATTGAGAATCTCTTAACCTTGTGTGTACAATTAGTTCCATCCAGGGAAGAATGTTGGAATTGGCAAGGATCACACAATCTTTTCCTTGATTGATGGACTGGTCAAATTTGAGAAGTTTGGCCCAGATAGGAAAAAGGTTTGAGTTTTTGCTTGCAGCTTATGGTTTATGGTTTATAGTATATACTAATACAAGTACATGACTATACATACAGATTAGTGTGTATCCACAAATAGCACAGCCAGAGAACCCCAATAGCTACAGGGCACGAAAGAAGGAGGCGTTTAGATTACAACGCGAGCGTAGAAAGGCACGAAGGGAGGGAAACTTTGACGTTCCACCACAGTTGCTGGTGCTTGCTTCAGCAGATGAATCCTTGGACAACAATCCAACATGCTGACCTCATCTGCCAAATTCTCTACTTTTCTGCTTCTGTTTGTAAATCAAAGCTACTGCAAAGCACGATACTAAGCATCCGTGTTCTATCTCTTGAATCCATTCCATTTAATTTACGCAAGAAGAATGTGGTTGGTTATTTGGTTGTTACCTTAAGCTTGCAGTTCACACACCCCTCCCAAGTTTTGCTTATTGTTATAGCCCAAAAGAAAAATTAAGCAAATATGATTATTGTTCTTTTTTCAAAGTTTACTTTTAATTTATTTATTAATAGGTACATAATATATATTAATTATAATATATACATAATTTATTATTAACTAAATATATATTCTCTCCATTCTACTCCATTCTATTTTGTTTGTCTAGTTCGATTAATGAGACTTGATTGAAATTATTTTTAATTTAATATTTTTTTTTGTATAATATTAAATTTAGTATTAATATATAAAATTTATATATTTAAAAGTTACATTAAAAGTATTAAACAAAAAAAAAAAAAGAATGAAGAAAAAGTTGATTTGACTAATGAATAGTAAATAAGACAAGTAAAATGAGATAGAGCATAATATACTACTTCATCTAGATAAGATCCAAATCATGGACCTTGGTCCACAGTATAACTGTTGTTTTTTTACTTATGTAACATGTCAAAGCTCAGAAGGCAAAAGTGCATAAATGAAAGTATAAACTCAGAAGAAGTGGTAGGTGGGTAAGTATAATGTCTATCTTACACTTACTACAAGAAGCTACATCCAACAAAACAGCAGTCAGTCATTTTGAAGCTTTTACTAAAAGAACAAAAAATGTAACAAGAAGTTGGCACCTCCTACTAACAGCTGACAAAAGTCCCTTGTGTACTTTAGGTCACCCATTATACAATGAAACAATTTTCAACACCACGAAAATTCCACATCTTGATTGTTCTGATCTGCAATGAAATTGCACACCATCAGGTTGAGAAAATAATCAAACTAAATTAGCAATACTTGCTACTAGAGCTTAATGATGATTTAAAATAATAACTGAAACTTCTCTCAGAAAGAGTGAAAGACTGGTGAGATTTAGATTTTGGAAGGAATGCAAGTCTAAGTTATTTACATGAACTAAACAGCACAGCATGCAATTGCTCATCTCAGAGCAGTATTTGGAAGGAATGTTCTCCTTGGAAAAAGGCTCAAATAAGCCCTGAACTATATGAAATTTCACTTTTTATTATTTTCCTAATCAATTATTATTATCATCATCATCACTGGTCTTCCATAAGCTTTTACTTCATTAGTTCTCAAAAGTGACCAATTAACAAGCAAATTTATTCCCCTCAACAGCTTGATTTCAAACAAAACACATTTTTTAAAAATAATATAGCAGTGGGTGGGGGGACAGGCTGTCCACCACCCACTGCGCGCGTGGCGCTCAAGCGCCAATCCGCCTTTTCTCCGGATAATAATCTTCTCTCCACTCCATTTGTTTCTCCCTCTCTAATAGTCTAAATTGACAGTTACCAATGACAGCAATTGACATTGTGATTTCAAATTTTTATTAGGACATCTCCAATGGTGAAGATTAGAAGAAAAATGGGAAGAAAACAAATGGAAGGGAGAAAAGATTATTCTCCTGAGAGAACTTTTTCTCCAGAGAAAAGGAGATTGGCGAGTCCACTGCTATATTATTGATTTTTTTTTTTTTTTTTTTTGGAAATTTACTTATTTATTTATTGATCTTTGGCAACCTTTCAGTTTTTATTATTTATTTTGTTTCAACTATTTTGTTATTTATTTTTTATTTTATTTTTTTTAAACAATAATATTGTTACCTAAATTTATTTTTTAAAATTGTAATTAGAAATTTTAATTATAAAGTTGAAATTATTAATTATAGATAAGTGAACAAAATAATAGATGATGTGTAGGAGTGTGAAAGAGTAGGACCCACAACGAAAGGAGAAAAGGGGGGAGAATTGGAGAGAAAATAGGAGAGGAGATTATAGGGTGATGTGTTGGAGTTGGGCCTACAAATTGGGGAGAAATAGCAAAAACTATTGTGGATGCCCATAGCCTTGCACAGTTGATCAGTTAGCTACATGCCCCCTTCGTCTTCCACCTTCCATCATCTATCAACTTACGCAATGCCTTGGGCCTATATCTGACATTGCAAACTAAATTTTAGCTTTCCACCCATCACCATAATGAAAAAAACCAATGGGCTCGGGGCTCCCTCACTTCCACTTATTCAAAGCTTAATATCTATTACCTATCACTACAATGCACCTTTTCAACTCCATCACCTCCAACAACACCATCAAACTAAAACATTCACTATCATGTGCAATGTCTGAATAATAAGACTTGATTCTGTCTAATCGAAATGTTGGGCAAGTATTTGACTAATTTTTATAGAAAGAAAACGTTTTGACCATTGTTGAGCTGTCCTTTTTCTATTTTTTTCTTCAATGAAGAATAATGTTTAATCATTCTAATGAAAGTTTTGTGTGTTCTCTCTCTAGAATGTTTTTTTTTTTGAATGCTCTCTCTAGAATGTTTAATTTAATTGTATTTTATAAAATGTTTTTATAAAAGTCAAAATTGATCTCTCCTATTTGGAAATAAAGTTGTCAATATCGTATTCTAGCAACATTTAGAAAAATAAAAAATAAAGGGGCTATTTGTTTTATTTAATATATAATATATATAATACTAGATAATTTGAAAATAGATGAGATATTGAATGTTGATATTAATGATATTGGAACAACAAATATTCCAAACCATTGGAGATGGAGTACCCCTCAATGATTGTGAATATTTGTAGGTCTTTCACATCAACACTTAATATCTCATCTATTTCTACATCTATATATTATTTATATTATATATTACATATAAATAAAACAAAAGCAAAAATTTAAAAAAAATTACGAGGGAGACTTTGCCTAGCAGGCCCGTGCAACGCACAACACTCGCTAGGCACATGCATGCACCAAAAACAACTTTACCTTTGTTATTTTTTTTATTTTTTTTATACCTGACAATATGCAAGTCAACTGCAAAAACCACCGGCATGTTGTCAGGATTTGGCTTTTTGAAGTGCCAAATGGCCCAAATAGGAGAGAGATAGCTTAGTTGAAAGGTAAAAATCCTCATTGGGATGTTCTAACAAAAAATACCACATCATCAGCCAATTCAATGATTGTTATATGGAACTAGTTGCTAACCTACTAGATGAGTTAATTGAATTTTTTGGGGAGGGAGTTCAAGGGGTAAATGAAAGCGTTTTTTAGTTTAGGAGCTTAATTGCATATTTACATATAGTTTGAGGGCTTATTTGAACTTTTTTTTTCCTATTATCTTGTAGTAGAAGCTGACATCAGGCTATTGGCCTTTTATCTGCATCTTCCCGACCAGAACACATATCTCATGGAGGACAGATATGTTTGTGATATGCAGTCCAAAAAAATGAACACCACCAAACTCAAGCAGCCCCAAAGCCCGGACGGACAATCAAAGAAAAAAAGAAGTCAATATTCTAAATGTATGGCAAGAACAAGGAACTAGTTTGCAGCAATATATTCAAAATTCAAACTTATCATAAAAAGATGAGAAATTAAGATAGCAAAGAAATAAATTCATCCCTCAGGACCTAATTAAAATGTGAGGTAACCATGTCCGGATAGGAAATTATGAACCACGAGACTTAATTGGTGATGCCAGGCAAATAATACCAGTAGAAATATGAAAAATTGAAACCAATCTGTATTTCGAGTAAAGAGGTAAAGAACTTACTAAAATCAAGCAGATCCGACAATAATGTTGTTGATGGGGATGAAAATGAGCTTGACAAAGAACCCTACGAATCCCATCACCACGAATCCAATCGCAGTCCGTACAGCCACTTTCGAGAATTCTACAGCAATGAATCAATTGAACCATCAGTAGGTATCAAAATCAACAACCAAAACGTAGCTGTGGTGTCAGATCCAATCGATAATAAAAAAAAAAAAAAAACAAAAAAAATGACCTTTGCGATCAGGCTTATGACATCTCTTGACGAGACGGACACTGTCCTTGGCGAAGTCTCTCAAGGGATCGAACACCGTATCTAAAGCATCCATCACTTGTATCCGCCGCTTTTTGTGATTCCGATCTGAAATACACATTACTAGAGACGACGGAAGGGGAAGATATTTCTTTTTGAGTTAATTATCAAAATGGTCCCTTGACTATAGCGAAATTATCAATTTGGTCCTTGACTAATTTTTTTAACTAATTAAGTCCCTCAATTTTAAAAATTTTAACCAATTTAGTCATCCGTTAGTTTGACCGTTAGTCAACCGTTAATTTTGGGACCAAATTGGTAATTTCGTTATAGTCAAGGGACCATTTTGGTAATTAACTTTAAGAGTGGGCAATTCGATTTAGTTTTCTCGAATCGAACCGAATCGAACTAGTTTGGTTCGTAATATACAACGAACGGTATTGAATTCTTGTATACCGAACGATTCGATAAAAATTTAATCCGAATCGATCTGAATTGTTCGGTAAAAAATTGAACTGAACCGAATACCGTTTGATTTTTTTTTTAAAAATAGGCACAAGTGTCAAATAGACTCATCTATTACTACGAAGTGCTCAATTCCCACCACGAACTAAATTAAATGTCAAATAGGCCCATCTACCAGCTAAATTTGTTCGATTAGCATTTTTTACAGGTTGGTAGCAGGTTGCCTATCTAATTATTAAAAATAAATAAATAAATAAAATAAAAAATTAAAAAAAAATTAAAAAAAAAATAGAAAATTTAAAAAAAAATATCAGCCACCGGGACAGCCGGGGGCTGATATTTTTTTTTTTTTTTAATTTTTTACTTTTTTAATTTTTTTTTTTTGAAAATACTTTTTTAATTTTTTAATTTTTTAATTTTTTAATTTTTTAAATTTTTTTAATTTTATTTATTTATATTTATTTATTTTTAATAATTAAATAGGCAACCTGTAAAAAATGTCAATTGAACAAATTTAGCTGGTAGATGGACCTATTTGACACTTAATTTAATTCGTGGTGGGAATTGAGCACTTCGCAATAGTAGATGGGTCTATTTGACACTTAAGCCTTAAAAATATAATAATAATAATAATAATAATAATAATAATAATAATAATAATAAATAAATAAATAAATAAATAAATAAATAAATAAATAAATAAATAAATAAATAAATAAAAAATAAATCCAAGTCCTTTGCTGCTTGCTCTGTCGTTCAGCTCATATTCTCACGGGTATATCTCAGAAATGTTTTATTTGATTTCTTTATGGTTTGTTATCAAAAGTTCTATATTATGTGTTATGGTGTTTACATAGTCCATATCCAAAGTCTAATATATAACAAACTAGCAATCCAAAGTTCAAACGGTATTTGGTTCGATTCGGTTTTTACCGAACAATTCAGTTCGATTTGAGTTTTTACCGAACCATTCGGTATACAAGAATCTATTACCGTTCGGTTGTTCGGTATATTACCGAATCTAACTAGTTTGGTACGGTACCGTTCGAGAAAACTGAACTGAATTGCCGACCCTTAAAGTTAATTACCAAAATGGTCCCTTGACTATAGCAAATTACCAATTTGGTCCCAAGTTAACGGTTGACTAACGGTCAAACAAACGGAGGACCAAATTGGTTAAGATTTTTAAAGTTGAGGGACTTAATTGGTCAACAAAAATAGTCAAGGACCAAATTGGTAATTTCGCTATAGTCGAGGGACCATTTCGGTAATTAACTCTTTTTTTTTCTCTCGGGTAGAAATATCTGACCGAATTACCCCAACCATGTCATGTGAGCGGACAATTTAGTGCTTCCCTAAACAACGATGTCGTTTTAACAATAACATGTACATTTCTTTTTGAGTAAATGCCAATTAAGGTCCCCCGAGTTTAGTGGTTTCGTCACCTTAGTCCTAAACTTTCAAATCGACCTACCGTAGTCCTTCCGTTAACATATTCTGTCTTCACCGTGAAAAGTAAGGGTAAAATACTTTTTTATTTTTTTTATTTTTTTATTTCAACCCCAACCAAAACAAATCATTTCCCTAAAAAATTAAACCTAATCTCCTCTCATTTCTTCATTGAGACGTACATGAAGTCATATGGAAGTAGTATAAATCCCATGACAGCTCCTAATGAGTGGCCTTCAAGTGATAAAGGGCCTCCTCTTCCACCTCTGTACACTGCCAAACAAAAAGTTGAGAAAGAAAAGAAGTGATGAGGTTTCCAAAAAGTGGGAAAGATATAAAAGGAGGTGATGAGAAATGAGAGGAGATTATGTTTAATTTCTAAGGGAAATGATTTGTTTTGGTTGGGGTTGAAATAAAAAGACTGTTTTGCCCTTACTTTTCAATGCCAAGACTGAATATGTTATCGGAAGGACTAAGGCATGTCGATTTCAAAACTCAGAGGACGACAAGTGATCGATTTGAAAGTTTAGGACTAAAGGTGACGAAACTACCAAACTCGGAGGACCTTGGCTGACATTTACTCTTTATATATATATCACACACACACAATCAATTAATTATAAATAACGAATAAGTCTAGTGTGTTGTATTGTAGGTTTGTTTTTTTTAGGCCTTAGCTTCTTAAGTCTTAAATTTGATGAAAGCGAAGAACATTAGGAAAAGTAAGGAATAGAGAGATAAGGAAAGATCATAAGATTTTCTTATTCAACTCTTTTCTTTAGTACAAGAGTACAAGATATATGTAGTAAATAAATGTAATCCTTACAATAAATGTCAAAAACCGTTACAGTTGTTACAAATATAAATGTCCATAAATAGTAGCTTTATAACACTCACCCTTGGACATTATATTGTCATAATCATGCCTGGTTAAAAACTCGCTAGAAAAACCCTGTGGGAAAAACCTAGTCGAAAAGAGTACCTGATATATGGATGATCATGTGTTGCATTGGTTGTCTCATTGAAAACCTTACACTAAGAAAAACCTAGTGGGAAAAAAGAAACTTAGTTAAGAGAAAAAGAGTACAACTATAGACCTTTTGGGTTCAATCTTCAGGATTGCAAGGGTTGTCGATCTTCTGGACCAATAATTCATGTGCACCGAGATGTTGTTGCTCCCCTTGAAGACAATAACCTTCCTAACCTACGCATACCAATTTTATGAACATATTTCTCAAATGTGGATGTAGGTAAGGACTTAGTGAACAAATTTGCTAGATTGTCACTAGAACGAACCTTCTAAATAAGTATTTTACCACTTTTTTTTGGAGTTCATGGGGGTAAAAGAATTTAGGTGCAATATGCTTTGTAAGATTTCCTTTAACATATCCATTGCTCATCTGTGCAACACATGCTGCATTGTCCTCATATAGGACAGTGGGGTTATCATCTATACTTGCTAATCCACACGAGCTATGGATATGATGTAACAATGACCTTAACCATATACATTCTCGTGAAGCCTCCTACAAAGCAATGATCTCTGTATGATTAGATGAGGTAGGTACTAATGTCTGTTTAACAGATCTCCATGAGATAGCGGTACCTCCACAAAGAAAAACATATCCAGTCTGGGATCTGGCGTTATGAGGATCAGACATATAGCCAGCATCCCAATAACCCACTAGTGGGGCGTCTTGGCTTTTCTCAAAGAAAAGACCAAGATCTTTAGTGCCTTGAAGATATCTGAGGATATGTTTTACGCCATTCCAATGTCTTCTGGTTGGAGCAGTACTAAATCGAGCCAATAAGTTTACTGAAAAGGCAATATCAGGCCTAGTGCAGTTGGCAAGGTAGAGAAGTGCCCCGAACTTTTGGTCCCAAAATATCCTCATCATCTCACTTTGGTCTATATGGGTCCATAGCAAGTATTAACAGTTGGAACAACAAAATTATGTGCAAGGCTGGCAAAGAGGTACTTCTTAAATCCATTATCCAAGCCATACCGACTTATGTAATGTCTGTTTTCCTGCTTCCTTTGAAACTATGTGAGGAAATCCAAATTTTGATGAATGCTTATTGGTGGGGAAATGGAGGAAATCAGGTGAAGGGGATCAGATGGATGGCTTGGGAGAGGATGTGTTATCCTAAGAACTAATGGTGTATGGGGTTTAGAAAGATTAGAGAGTTTAATATTGCAATGCTTGGAAAACAGCTTTGGAGACTCTTACGGTCACCAAACTCCATTGTTAGCAAACTTTTCAAAGCCAAATACTACTGTAACACCCCTAATTTTTAAAATATTTAAAGCCTATGAAATAAAGGCAAATCTATCATTATTTATCCAAACAAAGTGGAACTAACAACATAAGTATCGGGGTGCTATGCCACATTTAGGTTTGAGAACCTAGATGCACATGCTAAACTAACCAAACAACCATAAACGATAATTAATATTCATAATACAATCCAAGGCTCATAGGCATCTAACTACCACTAAACTATCTAAGCTAGGTCCTTGTGTCCATCTAGCGCACTCTGAAGCTACTGGTCTGTACCTGTGTCCATCTAGCGCACTCTGAAGCTACTGGTCTGTACCTGAAAACATCCGGTGTAACAACTGTCAGCGAATAATGCTGGTAACCCACTCCAACGCGTTAAGTACAATATAGGTAGATATAAGAAAAGCATTTTGAAACCGGAATACATATATACCTACTAGACTCTAATTTAAATCCAAGATCAAGACTCAAGACACGATAATAGATTCGACATTATAGAACAATCATAAATACTAGCATATATCCTAGAAACACAATACAAGACATAATAGACATATAAGCATACAAACAAGAAGTAGAGACAACAAAGGAATTCAAGACAATCATTTAACAAGCAATCATCAAGTCACACAATCCATCTTCCAACCTTATACCAAGTTCTAACCTTGTAGCTCCCCTCCGTCCTTATATCAGTTCCAACCTATACCTCTAGGCCACCCTTATATCGCCTCCCTTATTCCTCCGGGCAACTACATGCCCCCACCGACAAACCACCTTTCAACCACCAACATATCAAGATAGCGCCGCAGTGCCATTCGCATGATCTGTACCTCTAGTACCAATATCAAGGGGTCAGCGCATATAGCCCCGACATGACACCGCAGCACTTATAACCTGACCCATGCTCAACGGCAAGCTAGTCGAAGGTGGGTTTGTGCCTTTAGCACAGTAATCGCTAGGCCTGTACCTTTAGTACAATGACTGGGCACTCGTTGTGCCAACCGCCAACAATTCATTTCCACCAATCACAATCTCAACATCATTATCAGTCACACCGGGTATTGCGCAACGACCACGATACTCATCATCATTCAATCAATCAACACACACACAATCAATAACAATCAAGACATAACAGTAACGACACGCACTACACATAAACTCCCAGAACGATACTCAAAACATCAAACGAGACTCATACACGACAAGCGGGGTACAACGGGACACGGGGAAACAACAAACGGGGAAAAACACCACGCCATGTACCCACTTTCCAGCGGGTACGTGGCGGGTGGTCCCACCACCCGCCAGCCACCCGCCAGCGGGCAGCCAAGATTCCAGCGGGTGGCCGGCGGGCAGGCCACGGCCTACTGGCTGCCCGCTGGATTGGGCTCGCCGGGCAGCGGGTAGGTGGTGGGCGGTCATCCCCCCACCTACCCCCCACTGGTACATAGACAACTTTTCGGTCCCGGGATCGCTCGTGGAACCCGAAACCATGTCCGTACACATTTCAACACATAATGACAACACCACGGATTCAATTAACGGGATTAAATCAAGAATCATTCCAAATACGTTCTAACACGATTCCTAAACATGCCAATACTCAACATTAATCATATAACGGTTCATGAGCATCCAGAACCACAAGAACATCAAGAAATCTATATGCAAGGTCCTAAATACAAGTCCTAGGCTAGACTTAACACCCGATCATGCATAATCCCTCCCAAATATACCAAGAACATCACAACAACGAGATTCACGATACAAATCCTAGGGACAAGCTCTAGACATAATTAAAATACAAGATCATACATATAATCAATCACAATATCAGGAACATCAAGATTATCAAATAAACACAATATAAATCCTAGGCAAGGCTCTATCAAGACTCAATCACAGAATCATACATACGATTATCAAAGGAGCCAATGAATAAGATATAGCAAGGAAAATAGGTTTTATAAGACATGGGTTACCTCTTAGCCTTAATTAATCCTCCCTTGGCTACTAAGGTTCTTCTCTAAGATTTCCCTCTGATTGATCTCCCTAGGCTTGGTGGTGGGGAATCTCTTGAGAATATTTTCGTGTAATATAACTATGGGTGGTAAGGGTTCTAATTGTTTTCTAATCCCCTATTTATAGAATCAGGAATCCTAATCAGAATCTGAATAGTAAAGGCCTACTTTCTTTATTCCTAACAGATATATAGGTCTAGGATTCCTAATTAGAATCTGACTAGTAAAAGGTTTACTCTCTTTATTTCTAATAGGCTTAAGACTCTAGTTTAAGCAAGGGTCCACGATCCATGGTGGACCACATTAATTAATTAAAGGGAATCCTAACCAAATTAAATCATTTTTAATTATTATTAACGGAATTAATTAAATAATTAATCCGGGATTAAAGGCCGTAACACGGGGTGTTACACCTACCTTCACTCAATTCCCCTTGAAGCTGGATTGGGAAAGAACCCATCTTTTATATGGAGAAGTGTATGAAAAGCTAGAGATGTTGTGAAAACGGGCTGTAGATGGAGAATTGGGAGAGGTAATTCAATTAACATATGGACAGAACCCTGGGTTCCAAATGATTCCTATGGATTGCCAGACATGGAGATGATACTTAACATTCCTCTTGCTAAATACCAGGCAACAGACACACTGTATTGGAGATGGGATGAGAGAGGAAATTATATAGTAAAAAGCAATTATAGAGCATAAGTGGAAACTAGTCAGAACACGATGGATCCAAAGTGGACTGTTATGTGGAAGTTCAACGTTCTCCCCAAACTTAAACATTTCTTTTGGAGGGCTTGTAAAGCTTGCATACCTGTAGCAGAAATCCTGAATAAGCACTAGTACAGAATTGCACATACGCGACCATTGTAAAAGACATTACGCGACCATTGTACAATGGTGCCTATGCAAGGCTTGCGGAAAGCCATGGACTTTACGCGACCATTTCTAAATGGTCGCGCATTGTTAGTAATACGCGACCGTTCTTGACCAAGAATGGTTGCGTATTTTATTTATTTATTTTTTAATTCAAAGGTAAAACGCGACCATTTTGAAGCTAGAAATGGTCACGTTTTCCTTTTTTTTATTTATTTATTTTTTTTTTAATAATTAGTCATCCGCGACCGTTTTTGGCTAGGAATGGCCGTGGATGACTTTTTATTTTTTAATTATTTAATTTATTTAATTTTTTTTGAAGGTCAACCTGGCGGTTGTATTTATAGATAAGTTGAAATAGTGTCTGGTGGGACATTGTCCCAGTACATAGCAGTAGTGAAATTAAATGCTGTAGTAGCTAAGGAATGAGCTAGTAAATTCTGCGATCTAGGAATGTAAATAACTGAGCAGAAAGTAAAGGTAGATATGTAGGTTCTGCAACTATCGATGGCATAACCTAGATATGAGCGTGATGCGGTTGGTGGTCCAGATAGATAATTCTGTAGCAGTTGACAATCCGTGTGAATTTGTATAGACTGTTCATCTCGTCTTTTAAGCCATGATAACGCTTCCTTGCATGCAAATGCCTCGGCCATAAGTGGGGAGAGGCAATTCAGTAGGGGGCATTGAAAGCGGACATATAATTGCCATCGGCGTCGAAGAGCACCGCGCCAATTGTTGCTACGTTCGTTCCATGATTGTAGCTTGCATCTACATAACACTTCACAGGCCTTACTCCCGCCCCATGTGGAAGTTCCGGCTGATATGCGTGTGGTGGAGGCAGTTCGACGTTGGCAGTGTCGTCGCCCGGAGGATATGCGTGTGGCGGAGGTAGATCGATGTCGGCAGTGTCGTCGCCCGGAGGAGGTGGTCCGACAGTGGTGTTCGGTGAGGCGGCAGTGGCGGGTTGAGCGGCCAGCCGTGACGGTGCACGATGGTGGACTTCTTTCCATGCTTTCATCGTTGCCATCGCAATTGTTAGCACTTTCGTTGGTCTCGGCAAACAGGCATCCCAGACCACTCCGTTTCGGGTCCTCCATATGTGGTATAAAATTGCAGCTGCATAAATAATTCCATTAAAGTCTAGAACATTCAAGATTGCACTAAACCATTCATGGAAAATATTTGTGATAATATTGGGGATTGGAAGGTTGGATTGAGCCCATATGGAGTGTGCATAGTCACAAAAAACTAATGCATGCATGGTATCTTCATTCATTCTCCCACACATGGCACACATCGGGTTAACATCCACCCTTTTTATAAGCAAGTTGTTGGTAGTGGGAAGAATATCACAAATAGCTCTCCATAAGAATGTCTTCCATTTGGGTGGTATTTTCAATTTCCACAGGGCTAGCCATTCATCAAATATTCCATTAGGATTATTCACATAATTACCAACTATGCGCCTGTATCCACTCTTAACTGAATAAATTCCATTAGGATCATCATACCAATACCATATATCATCATAGTCAGGGGCTACTGGAATCTTTTGGATTCTAGGTATATCACTTGGCTGGAAAATATCAGTTAATATATGCGGATCCCAGGTCTCTGTATCCTGATCAATTAATCCAACCACTCTGGTTCCAGACAGTTGTTGTGGCATTTCTGTGTGAATCATAGGATCCAGTTCATCTTGCAACCAGGGATGCTCCCATATTAAGGTAGATTTTCCATTTCCAATTCGTCTCCTTATTCCACCACATACTAGGTCTTTAGCTGCCATAATACTGCGCCAGCAAAAACTTGGATTATTCCCCATTGTTGCCTCTAGGAAAGAACCCCTTGGATAATATCTGGCCTTGTAAACTTTGGCTACTAATGAGTCAGTGTTAGTGAGCAGTCTCCATGCCTGCTTTCCTAACATTGCCAAATTAAAAGCTCTTAAATCCTTAAAACCCAGACCACCATGCTTCTTTGGGATACATAATCCATCCCAGGCTTTCCAGTGAATGCCTCTATCAGTTCCTGTCCCCCACCAGTATCGGTTCATAGCCTGCTCAATAGCCGTACAAGTAGATATGGGTAATAAGAAAACACTCATTGAAAAAGTTGGCATTGCCTGAGCCACACTTTTCTATAAAATTTCCTTACCTGCCTGAGATAATAATTTCTTATTCCAAGAACCAATCCTTTGCCTGATCCTATCCTCAATATATGCAAATGCAGCCTTTTTATTCCTTCCCACAAAAGAGGGTAGTCCTAGGTATTTCCCAAAATTAGGTGCTTGAGTAACACCTAGGATCTGTGCTACCATGTCTTTACATATTGCCCCGTATTCCTGCTGTAACATATACTGGATTTATGATAGTTTACCTTCTGGCCAGATAAGCTCTCATATAACAATAAGCAATTTTTTATCTCAGATGCTTCCTGCATATTTGCTCTGAAAAACAGTAAGCTATCATCCGCAAAGAATAAATGAGAGATAGGAGGTGCACCTCTAGCAACCCTGCAACCATGTATTAATCCTTTATCCTGTGCCCGTTGTAATAGAACTGAGAGCCCTTCCGCACAGATAATGAACAGATATGGGGATAATGGATCTCCCTGGCGTAGGCCACGCGTGGGCGTGATGGGGGTACTACGGGAGCCATTAATCATAAAATTATACGACACTGTGGTGACACATAACATAATCAAATCAATCCATCTATCATCAAATCCCAGGGCTATTAACATCCCACGGAGAAAAGGCCATTCCATACGGTCATAGGCTTTGGCCATATCAAGTTTGAGAGCACCCCATCCTACAGCCCCACACTGTTTTCTATTCAAGTAATGTCCCACTTCTGCAGCCACAAGAATATTATCAGTAATCAGTCTGTCTGGAATAAATGCACTCTGCGAATTAGATATTATATTCTCCATTAGAGGCTTCATTCTCTGGGTAATCATCTTAGCCATTATTCTGTAAATCACATTGCTCAAAGCTATTGGCCTAAAATCCGCGACCACCTCAGGGGATTTCTTCTTTGGGATGAGAACCACATCAGTATTATTCAGGTCAGCTGGAAAAATCTGATTATTAAGACAGTTTAATATAAATGCCGAAATATCATTGCCAACCACATCCCAGAAATGTTGGTAGAAACCTGGGTTCATACCATCTGGTCCAGGGGCTTTGTCCGGGGCCATCGCAAACAGGGCATCCCTCACCTCAGTAATCACAAAGGGCCGTAACAATTGATCATTCTGAGTTTGGGTTACACGAGGAGATATCTCAGAAAATAGGTCATTACCATCTATAGGATCACCTGAGGAGAAGATCTGGCTAAAGTATTCCAAGATAATTGTATTCATATTATCTCCTTCCATCCAATCCCCATTATCATTCATAAGCTTATAGATAGTATTTTTCTTTTTACGGTGAGAGGCATACATGTGATAGAATTTTGTATTGGCATCAGCATTCTTTAGCCAGTGTTGCTTGGCTCTCTGTCTCCAGTAAGTATCCTCCTGGATCTCCATATTGCTTAGTGTTTCTTCCAATCTCTGAAACTCAGCTAAAGATGTTAGGTCAGTGCGACCTCTGAGATGTAACTGTTGTTTTCGTAAAAACATAATCTTTTCCCCAAACTTGTGATACCGGTCACCACCCCATTTAGATAATTGATTTCCACAGTATGCTATACAGTCCTGGATTCCTTCACTTCTTCCTTCTTCCCATGATCTTTCCACCACACCCCTACACCCTTCATCATATACCCAGGCCATTTCGAAACGAAAACCTCTTCTTCCTCCCCTCGTATTCGGAACCGTTTCATGTATGCTCAAAAACAGTGCCGAATGATCTGATTTTCTCATTAGGTTATTACTAACCCTAGCCCCAGGCACAATCTCACGCCAAGCATTCGACGCAAGCACTTTATCCAAACGTTCCTCGATGCATGTAGGCGTTCCTTTCCCCTTCTCCCATGTAAATCGGTATCCTTCCATGGGCAACTGAGCCAAGCCACAATGATCAATAGTCTCTCCAAAGCCGCGAAGGAGACTATTAGGATGCGGATTTCCCCCCCTCTTCTCGTGTTGGAACAGGAGATCATTAAAATCCCCAATCATAACCCATGGTAGGTTGGATCGGGGCGCAAAAGATTTGAGTAAATCCCATGCTTCTGATCGTCTATGACGCTGAGAGAAACCATAGTAACACGTCATTCTCCACTGCGGAAAACTGGGCATATTCACCTCAATATCAATATAATTCTTCGAGTAACTCAAAAGTCTTGCGGTATCGTTTTTTCGCCAAAGCAGTGCTAAACCACCACCCAAGCGAGTCAGATCAACATTAAAAAGGCCATCAAAGACAAGGCTGACACGAATTCTTTCAGCATGTATTCGTTTCACCTTGGTTTCCATGAGAAAAATAAAATCAGGCTTCTTACGGGACGCAAGATCCGTTAACTCTCGAACTGTTCGTGGATTGCCCATGCCACGACAGTTCCAGCTGATAGTACTCATGATGACGGGCGGGTCTGGGAACCAGAACCCGCCATGGACCAGTTTTTTTGGATCTCTGTCATAACCACATCACCTCCAGCATTCAACTCGGCTCTCCGTCTTTTACTCGCAGTCGTGATCACCACATTTTCCCTACTTTCCAGTGTTGTCTCCGATACCTCATTGGCATGCTCATCATTCGGTGTTCTTGGCGCAACACCCGAAGGGGATTCCGCCATGGGGTTTCCATTCTTGTCGAGGAGCCATGAAGCTCCCACCTTACGTGGACCCTTCCGAAAACCAGCACGTAAATTCTCACCATATGGGTATTGATCAATCGGTATACCCGCATCTCATGCTTTCAAACAGTATTTGTGTAAGTGCCCCATCATTCCACAGAAATAACAAAAATTGTGTAGCCTTTCGTACTTGAAATTTACCCAACAAGTCGACTTGTCCCTCTTCATAAACTTCATGCGCCGTTTTAGTGGTTTCAAAACAGAAATTGAAACCCTAATTCGGTAAAACGTTTTCCAGGGAGCATTCGCGAACCTATCATCAATCTTAATAAAAGTTCCCATAAAATTCCCGACTTGTTCCAGAATAAGATCAGAAGTATACCCAAGCGGCAAGTCATGGACTTGTATCCACATATTAACCGTGTCCAAAGGTACCGAAGTCGGAATGACCCCATCCTTAACCTGTTTGCAAACGAACGTATGATTCTCAAAGGACCATGGACCACCTTCGAGGACCAACTGAATATCAGTTTCATGGTAGAACACAAAGAGAAAAAGCCCTGGCTGCAATTCTGAAACCTGTACCCCTTTAACCGGTTGCCATACCAAGGCCATAACCTGGCTCATAAATTCCATCTTCACAAGTTTGGTAGTTAGGAATCTACCAACTAGACGCCAGGTCTGTGCCGGCGGTGTAACCTGCACGTCGTCACCCTCCCCCATCGGTTGGAAAACCTCATCCTCTTCGTCCTCTAGAACTACGTCGGCCCATCGCCGACTCAAAGCCGCCACAGCTTCCTCGGTCGCCGCAGGCTCCATGCTTGCCGGAGCAGAGAAGGAAAAACGCGCACGTCGGCACTGGAGCCGAAGTGAGAAGACAGATATTACGCCGGAAAACCTTGATCACCAAGGGAGAAGAGAGAACCCTAGAGAAACCCTAGAGAGAGAGAATTATACCCTTACTCAATATTAATGGTTATTTAATTTATTTAATTAAAACCCCTAATTTTTTTTATTTTTTTTAATAATTCATGTACCTGTTACAACTTATTAAAATCCTATCAACATTACTCCACAATACAATTTATCTATAACAATACTTTTAACACACAATGTAAATACTATACTATCATCAAATTAAACACAATGCAAATACTATCACCAAAATACAATAGCACTTAAAATCCTCATACTTTAATACAATAATATCATCAAAACATGTCCAACTCAATACTATCATCAAAACAAAATACTTTTTATCAAGAAGAACTTTGACCACTGCTCTCGAAGCTCATTTATGTCGTCGATAGAATGCGGACTATCGCTTTCAAATGCCTACAAAAAATTTAATTAATAAAATTATTAATTATGTTAATTAATAAAATATAACTTAACTATACATAGCTCTATTTAAATTCACTTACTCCATCCAAATTATCAACAGATGAATATTTTGTCACGATGTCATACATGTATCGCATGACATAATATACACACTCATGACCTCCCGGTTGTCTCGGGCACTACAAAATACATATATTATTTTACTAATTTAAACAACTTATTGTAATTCAAAATATCACACTAAAACTTAAATTCAATTTCCATACATACTTTGCATGGCTTCCAATTGATGTTAACCCGTGCACTCGTAGGAACAGAGCGAAATGCCCTATAATAATTAGAAGCATACATAAAAATTTATAAATAATATCATAGCTGCTAAAATACTTATATAAATAATAAAGTATTTACTTACAAATTCACAGAGCCTTTAATTAAACCTATGTCGCGATTAGAAGGCAAGGGATCCAAGATAGATACGCTTTTTGACCGTATGCAAATCACCAAAAGTAACAAATGAGAGCTACATTTAAAAACACAAATATATATTAAAAATTTAATATCTAATACTCCAAATATAAAGTTATGAGTTATATTAATAAAATATAAGAACAATTTTCTTACTCTTGATGATATGGTGCTCTAATAAAGTTTTTATCTTTGTGCTGCTCCATGACGTGGATGAAATATGATGTAACTTTGCGGGAACTGCTTTTAAGCATAGTGTGGGAAATCTAGGTCGGACAGATAAATCCGATTGACCTAACTTCATACTGATTGCACAACTGATTAAGAAATCTGAAAATTAAGAAATCTGAAAATTAAGAAATAATGAATAAGAAATTTCACTAAATATAGGTAAACATATATATAAAATACAGTAATAATTTTTAAAAAAAACTTACAGTATAAACACTTGTATGATTAAGACATTAAGCCAATTCATCATCATGAAATTCGTTATATCATTCATCATCACAAAAATAGAACTTGTGTTTTGATGACGGAAGATTGCTTTATCCAGCTCCAACTCAATACAATCTTTACCAAGTGGAAAGCATATCAACAAATCCACTAAACACTTGCAATTCTCCCCCAAGTGCGGTAAGACATCATCACGAACAATGGGAGCTCGTGCACTCGTAGTAGATAGATTAGCACTTTGATCTTTTGGTTTCATATTTTGTTTTGATAAACTCTATAAATATAAAATTGTAAGTTTACTAGCCCCTTTTAAATATAAATAACGAAAACTAACTTAATAACTAAATAAAAGAATGCATACCTCTTCTAAACTCACTAAATGCATAGGCCATTGTGCAAAACTGCCTACTATATCTGCTATAGTGACATATTGCTGATCTAGTAAGGGGAGATTAAAGTGTTCTTTACCCTTAATCACTTCATCCACCGAAAGTTTGACACAGTTACGCAACAATGGTTGGTGATTCACCATAGTCTCTTCAGTACTTGGGTGAGCCATACCTTTTGCAACAATAATTGGTGTGCCATTAGGACATACTGCTAGTAAACACCTTTTTGGATTCTATTATTCAAAATTGTGTGTTAATCTTAATCTAACAAGAAATATTATTTTGATATATGAAATAACTTTTGATATTACCTGAATTGTTGTAACTGGATATGTGTCAACTGAATGACAATTGCTACGAGTAGGGGGTGGATCACAAAGCGGTAGATCACTTAGAGGAGTTCCAGCCGAGACCCCTCCTAAAAATAGATGTGTCCTCGATATGTTCTTCATCAAAAACTTGAGTTGCTGGTTCGTTGTTTCAATCTTGGGATTCATCTTTGCTTCCACCTCCATTATTGTATTTTGCCTGCATTTCTCTAATATTTGTTGGACAACAGCTTCTGAGTAAACCCCACTTGATGTGTTTTGTTTCCGATCTGGTCTACCAAACACTTCTTGGATGGTAGAGTATGTACCAATTGCTCTTACAGAACCTGAATTATCATCCTTTCCAAGAACTACTGACAATACGTCATGGTGTCTTTTTGGTTCAAATTTTCCTTGATCAAGTTCTTCACATTTTTCTATCTGTTCCAACAAATAAAATAAGTCAAGTACTAGTATTTTTTTTATAAATATTATGTACTATTATGACATTTAAAAAAATATAATACTTACAATTTTATGAAACACTTGTGTTTTTTCATTTGGAATAAAGTAACTTCCATCATCTGCTTTTTTTTGTTCTTGCTCGTATCCAATCAAACCTGCGATCATCGGACAACAAAGACGAGCTAACTGACGCACACGAAGATTGTGACAATAGAGAATCTTCTTTCATCCACTCTTGTCGTCTCCTCGCATATCCACTAGAACCTAAGAAGTGTGGATGCTCATTTAACGCCTGCAATTCCCTAGCCTTCTGACTTCTTTCCTATCCATATCTGTGAATTCATAAAATACTACTCTAAGTACTATGTAGATATGGATACGCAATGATACTAGTAAACACCCTAATAAGTTAGATTTGCAAAATCAGTTAATTTGATTATGAATTAAGTGAATTGAAACACAATTTCTCAAAGTTGTCGCCCTTGTTAATGCCCACTATTCTTAACCCTTACCATTTCAAGTGATTGATGTTATTTTTGACTCGCTCCGAATCATCTCAGATATATTATTTCATTATTCTTAATGACTTATCTTTAAATTTATATATTTATTTTTCTGAATCAATATCTCACATTCCAACAAATCAGTCATATATCACTAATATATAAACATTGCACTCGCTTCATGACACCAATATAAGCCCAAGGGCCGCAATTGCACGTGCTCCAAAGATTTGGTGAAGGGATTTAATATCAGGATTCATCTCAACCTATATGTTTCCAAATCCAATAAATGTGAAATCTACCTCCATACTAGCATTAATATCTAGGTATCTTTTCAGCAGTTGTAAGAACCAAGTCCATGACTCTTTATTTTCCCCTTCTACAATGTCATATGCTATTGGAAACAGACTGTCATTAGCATCAATAGAGACTGCAGTGAACAACATACCCCCAAATTTCCCTCTTAGGTGGCAGCCATCCACACCTATGATAGGTCTACAATGTTTAAATCCCTCCCTACATGCCTCCCAACATATATATATATATATATATATATATATATATATATATATATATATATATATATATATATATATATATATATATATATATACCCTTAACAGTCTACTTGCACCATTTTCATCCATGAAATCAGACAACTTAACTACATAAGTTGACTTTGGATTAGTCTTCTCTATTTCCTTGCAATAACTCCAAATTCTATTGAAGTTCAAAGTATGTTCTTTTTGGGTCTCACTCCTAGCTAATGAAATGGCTTTGTATGCCTGTCTTTTACTGAGGTGAAAATGATTTGTAGTGCAAGCTGTCTCCCTAAACTCTTCCATCTTCCAATCACTATTGCTTGCAATCTGTTTCTTCCATCTCCTGGCTACCAATGCAGTAGTAACCATTTTATTCTCATTAACTCACAAACAGTTACAGTGTTCATCATTAAATGTAGTTATTCTCTAAGACAAGTCATCCTTATCCTTTCTTAATGTTACTTTCCATTTTCAGCCATCTCCAGTACACTCAGCTATGCACCTTACTTTAGCATTCTTCATAAACTTCAATTGCTTTCCATTTGTCACTCCATAACTGTGCACTGCCTCTTCAAACCCAGCTTTATCCTTAAAAGTTCTACCAAGCCACAGAGTAGGAGGGGCTAAAGCTACTCCAAGAGGTTTCATAGAACCCCATACATTTGTCTCAACCTCACCATCACTCCCTGCAATAGGTCTTTCATCTGACAAGTTCAAATCATCATTCACCTCTAGACAATCATCATTTACTTCTAAGTCTTCACCACTATCTTCTTCATACTCACTACATTCTTCATATACTGAAACTATGTCATCCTCAGATTCTCCTACATAACCTTCTTCAACTATCTCATCCTCAGCAATTGAACATGGCACAACCCAAACTTCAACATTCTTTGGCCTAATCACACTGTTGGCTATATTGGAAGTCTCAGCATCTGATAACAACTCCACTAAATAGTCTTGGACAACTGAAAAGAACCTAAAGTTACTATCTTTATACCCCAATTCACCAAACTTCTCTTTTAGGGTGATAAAACCCCATTCATCAAAATCTATGCATGCCACTAAAGCTATTCATTTTACCTCCCAAATATTTTGGTGGGATACATTGTTCTATACTACCTCCATTTATTATAAACAGAGTGAATATGTAGGATTCTACTCTACCTAAAGTAATCAATGAGGACAGAAACCAGTTTAAACAGAGTGAATACAATGCATATGTGTTGCAGTATTTAACTAACAATTTTCATTTCTTTATAATAAAGCTTAGTAAAACAATAAGCAGCATACACAGTGCACAACACATGCTTTTAGGCATAATTTGTCAAAAGTATATATACCTACATTAAAAAAAAAAAAGAAGACAACACACCTGCAATACTGATAAAGCAAAACACCAAATACATTGTGGACCCCAATGTCTTCTACCTAATAAAAAAAAAACCCTAGTAACTACATTTAAAGCAAAGTTGGTCCCCATTAACCGTAGAAGAATATTTGCCATATTAATTATGTATATATTTAGTCATATCATTTCTATATTATTAATCTATCTTTTTAGGTAAATAGCTTAATTATATGCATTTCTACCTTTTTCATTCTTTTTACCATTAGAATCATTTTGTATATATGCTATGTATAATCCTTTTCTTCTCCCAAAAGGTTGAATCCCCGACCCTAAGGCCCCCCCACACTCCGACCCGACAGAGCATGTGGGAGGATGTAAATCACGCTGTATAATCCTTAATACAAGTCAATATACATAATTAATATATTTTTTTCTCTTTCTTCATGTATTCATGCATACATAGCAGAATTAACATGGTATCAGAAGGTTTAAATTTCTTAAAGCTTATTCATCTTTGTTGATTTCTTTTGACACTTCATTCCAGTCTCCAAAGATGGCTACAATAACACCTACAGATGAACCTACCATCAACACTGGTCCTGGTTCTGCCATTCAGCAGCAACCCGTCATCGTCCCTTTCGATGCCAAAAATCCATATTATCTCTACTCTTCTGATGGCACGGGCACCACACTCGTTAGCAATGTTCTCACCGACATTGATAACTACAATCCTTGGGCACGAGCGATGACAATGGCCCTTAAAGGGTGCAACAAATTTTGTTTTGTTGAAGGATCCCTTCCCATGCCAGATGTTGCCCATCCCGATCACGCTCGTTGGCACCTGGTGAACAACATGGTGATGTCATGGATCTTGAATTCAATACACTCATCACTGGCTAACACTGTCCTATATGCCACCGACGCTGCCTCCGCTTGGATAGATTTACAGGAACGATTTTCTATCACGAATAGACCTCACATCTATGAAATTGAAAAGCGTATAGTAGACTATTATAATCATTTGAGTGAACTTTGGGACGAATTAAACCTGTTGGATCCTCCACCTAAATTTTCATGTTCTGCTCGCCAGGAATACATTGCACAAACGGAGCGTCACCGACTGATGCAATTTCTCATGGGCCTTCGGGACACTTTCGCTCAACCACGGAGCCAATTGTTGCTTAATGGCAAACTTCCTACTATTAAAAATGCTTACTCATTATTGCTTCAAGATGAATCACAATGTGTATAGAGCGAAAGTTACAAACATCTAGTGGATCATTCGGCTCTTCAGGCAGCCTGGATTGACATTGATGCATCAGCCTCGTTGCAATCTCATATATCTTCCATGCCTCAATTTACTGCCGCTGCCAACCAATCTTCTACAAACAGGGCGCATGCATCATCCTCCACATCTCATTCAGGTAACAATCGACCACGACCACTGTGTGCTCATTATGGGACACTTGGTCATACGCAACAAGTTTGCTACAAGTTTCACGGGTATCCTCTCGGGCACAAATTCTACAAAAAAGGAAATACTAATAGTCAACCTCGCCTATTCCTTCCGAATCACTTCAACAATTAATCCGATTGCTACAAGAGGTAAAGGAACCTAAAGCAAACCTCGTTGGTAAGTCTCTAGCCTTAACTTCTATTTTCAATATTTCAAATGAATGGGTTATTGACACAGGTGCTACTGATCATGTTTGTTTCAATATCTGAGCCATCCTCTTTCTTTGCTGCACAAACAGACCCTAAGTGGAAAAAAGCCATGCAAGACGAAATACGTGCTCTAGAAGCTAACAATACTTGGTCATTAACAACTCTACCACATGGTAAGTCCGCTAATGGATGTCGATGGGTTTACCGTATCAAATACAAACCTGATGGTTCTGTTGAGCGATTCAAAGCTCGCTTGGTAGCAAAAGGATACTCTCAACTAGAAGGATTTGATTTCACCGATGTCTTTGCTCCTATCACAAAGCTTGTCACAGTCCGTACAGTTCGTAGCATCATAGCCGTACGAGGATGAGCTACTCATCAACTTGACGTTTCTAATGATTTCCTTCATGGAACACTTCATGAAGAAGTCTATATGCAAGTCCCTCCAGGTTTTAGGCGAAAGGGGGAGAATCGGGTTTGCCATCTCCACAAATCTCTCTACGGGCTCAAACAAGCATCACGGTCATGGTTCACGACTTTTTCCACATCCCTCATCAACGCCGGTTTTGTACAATCTAAAGCAGATTATTCCATGTTCACTTACAAACGTGAAAATTTTCTAACTATTTTGCTTGTTTATGTTGATGATATTGTTATCACAGGTAATGATCCAACCATCATTACTATCCTCAAGCAGTACCTAGCGCATCAATTTCAAATCAAGGACTTGGGATTATTGAAGTATTTCCTTGGGATAGAAGTTGAACGTTCCCCTACTGGAATTTTTTTAAATCTAAGGAAATATTCGCTTGAAATTCTCTCGGATACGGGAATGTTGGCTTGTAAACCCGCCTCAACTCCTATAGAGGTCAGTCACCAACTCAATCCTAACACAGGCGAACTTCTTGCAGACCCTTCCACATATGGACGACTCGTTGGTCGCCAGCTCTACCTCACAGTCACTCGGTCAGACATCACTTATGTAGTTACTCTTTTTTCGCAATTCATGTCTGCACCACGTGACATGCATTGGCAAGCCGCGCTTAGGGTCGTACGTTATCTCAAAAACTCAACAGATCTTGGCATACTTTTATCTACACATAGTTCTTTAAAGTTACATGCCTATTGTGATGTTGATTGGGCTTCATGTCCAACCACAAGATGCACAACTACGAGATACTGCACTTTTCTAGGAACAAGTTCCCTATCTTGGCGAACAAAGAAGCAAACAACAGTATCACGATCCTCTTCTGAAGCTCAATATCGTGTCATGGCCAATGCAGCTAGTGAAATCACTTGGCTTCAATTACTCCTATCAGAATTAGATATACCAATTCATCCTGCACAATTGCATTGTGACAATCAGGCGTCTCTTCACATTGCCAATAACCCCGTTTTTCATGAAAGGACTAAACATGTGGAAATCGACTATCATTTCGTACGAGAGAAAATCAATGACGGCACACTACACACTACTTTCGTTCCATCCAATCAACAACTAGGCAACTAGCCGACATATTTACGAAGAGCCTCCTTCTTCAACCGTTCGACGCCATCACTTCCAAGCTCATGTACCACCCTTGAGCTTGAGGGGGAGTGTAGAAGAATATTTTCCATATTAATTATGTATATATTTAGTCATATCATTTCCATATTATTATTCTATATTTTTAGGTAAATAGCTTAATTATATGCATTTCTACCTTTTTTCATTCTTTTTACCGTTAGAATCATTTTGTATATATGCTATGTATAATCCTTAATACACTACAAGTCAATATACACAATTAATATATTTTTTCTCTTTCTTCATGTATTCATGCATACATAGCAGAATTAACATTAACTACATTCGAAATTCCACAACCCCACATACATACGAACAAAACCCTAGTTCCCCACATAGAATATTCTTTGGTCCCCAAACACATACAATAGACAATAACGACAATAACATAGGCCCTACAACAGACAATAATGATAACAGCAAACCAAATTCAATATAAATGCACATAAACGCATAAATAACAAACAAAAAAACGAAGACAATCGTACTTGTATTGTACTTCGACGCACCATTTCTTGTTGAACCCGTTAGCTTGTACGGCGATTAGACGTGGAGTTTTGATTTTGGGTGGAAATCTGGATGAATGCTCCAAATTTACGTCATAGCTAGTGTTTGCGATTAGAGTTTACAAATTTGGGGGTATTCTTTAGTCTGTAATCTAAAACCGTCGCAATGGGAAGGAAATACACAACGAAGAAGGCTAGAAGAATGAAATTACATTTTTATCCTCGGTTTTAACGTCTCCCAAACGGATGTTACCACTTAGGACCAAATCGGTGAGAAATATCATAGTTGAGGACTCAATTGGTCAATTTTGAAAGTTGAGGACCAAAGTGGTGAAATACTCATAGTCGAGGGACCAAATCGGTAATTAACTCGAGAACAAAATATAAGTCAAATGGAGGAATTGATCATTTTAAGGCACGGTTGGTAACAAAGAGTTACAAGCAGAAACCAGGTATTGATTATTTTGAGGTTTTTGCTCCAGTAACCATTTTTTTCAGAAACCATTTTGACTTGATACAGTTTGAATGGTCATTTCTCTTGTTGCTCAAAATGATTGGTAATTGCATCAAATGGATGTGAAGTCTGCTTTTTGAATGGTTTTCTTTAAGAAGAAATATATGTTGAGCAACTTGTAGGGTTTGTGTAGAAAGGGGAGTAACATAAAGTGTACATGTCACTACAAGAAAAATGCACATAGACAACACTACAAAGACAACAGTTTTAAACAAAAGTGTTGTCTTTTGTTTAAAAGACAACAGTTTTGTCCAAAAACCGTTGTCTTTGACACAACACTTTTGTCAAAGAGAACAGTTTTTACCTAACCGTTGTTATAAGTGTGTTGTCTTTGTGAATTTTGTGAAAAGACAACACCACAACGAACCGTTGTCTATGTGCGCTTGTTTTTTTTAAAAGACAACGGTTTTATTTAACCGTTGTCGTTGGTGTGCTGTATTTAAGCACAATTGAATACACAACACTACAAAGACAACGGTATTTTAAAACCGTTGTCTTTGCGCGCTCTTTTTTTTTTTTTTTTTTTTTTTTTTTTTTTTTTTTTTTTCTTTTTTTTTAAAGGCAACGATTTTATTTAACTGTTGTCGTTGGTGTGTTGTCTTTAAGCGCACTTGAATACAAAACACTAAAAAGACAACGGTTTTTAAAACTGTTGTCTTTGCACGCTCTTTGTTTTTTAAATTATTTTTAAAGACAACGGTTTTATTTAACCGTTGTCGTTGGTGTGTTGTCTTTAAGCGCACTTGAATACACTACACTTCAAAGACAATGGTTTTTTAAAATCGTTGTCTTTGTGCGCACTTTTTTTAAAAGGACAACGATTTTTTTAACCGTTGTCGTTGATGTGTTGCCTTTAAGCGCACTTGAATACACAACACTACAAAGACAACGATTTTTTAAAACCATTATATCATTGCGTGCTCTTTTTTTTTTTCTTTTTTTTTTTAAGACAACGATTTTATTTAAGTGTTGTCTTTAGTTTGTTGTCTTTAAGAAGACATGAATAAACAACACTATAAAGACAACGATTTGTAAAACCGTTGCGTTTGTGCACTCTTGTTTTTATTTTAAACAAAAAAAAAAACAACCATTTTGTATAACCGTTGTCGTTGGTGTGTTGTCTTATAAGTTATAAGAAAAGATATTGTGTATGCGTGTGCATGGTAGCTATATAATAATGAGGAAAGATGATAAAACTTATAACGGTAGTGATTATTTTGTCCAATATATATATATATATATATATATATATATATATATATATATATATATATATATATATATATATATATATATATAGAGTGAATTCCATTTTTGGTCTTACTGTTATAGCGGCGTTTAACAATTTTAGTCCACCTTAATTTTTTTTGCCACTTTATAACCACTATTATTGAATGTGTTCCACTTTTAGTCCCACCGTTAGTATTTTCATCAAGAGGCCGTGTAATCTAGGGGTATTTTGACCTTTCTTCTCATCCAAGACTATGTTTGACTAAAGAAATGAGAACATTAAACCTAAAACCTAAGAAACCTCGCCGGCCCATGTTGGAACGAACGAAACGATGTAGCTTTGGCTTCCCATTCTCGTTGTTCTAAGAGCCATCTTCGAATATCGGAGGAGTAGGACGAAGGGCCTGGATTAAAGGAGAAGAGACAAACCTAAAAAGACCAAAATACCCTTTAATTATACGACCTCTTGACAGTGGTTGTAAAGTGGCAAAAAAAATTAAAGTGGACAGAAATTGGAAACGCCCCTATAACAATAGGACCAAAAATGGAATTCACTCTCTCTCTCTCTCTCTCTCTCTCTCTCTCTATATATATATATATATATATATATATATATATATATATATATATATATAGGGGAGGCTTCAAATAAGAACCCTTTGTTAGGTAGGAACCTAAGAACTAATCCAAGCCATCCAAATATGCTCAATCAATGGTCAAGATAATTAATCATTTTGATGTGGATCTTAAACATAATTAATTAGAAAGGATATTAGTGTAATTTTATTCATCTACCAATTATAAACTAATATTATATTTTGATTATTTTCAAGATTTTAGGATGACAATATATGAAAGGAGTCCAATTGATCTATAATTCTACGATCGACTGATCTGCGGTAGGGAGTGAAGTACGGTCGTCCGCCGTTCATTAGATTTCGGAGAGAGACAAAGAAAAGCGATCATCGACGACTGCTGCTGAAGGATCGCAAGTGGCAACAATGAAAGTAACAATAATATTTGTCCCCATATTTGACTGTCGTTGCTGTGGGTTCTTCCATTTGGGATTAAATTGAATACATCTAATTAAGTGGAAGCCTAGAATTAAATGAAATATGCTGCTATCATACTGCTGTGTATGCACAAACAATTGCATGAAGAGTGTTGCTATTTTTTGTGTCTTCTCTAAGTTGTTAGGGAATGATGAACTGCAATGGTTTGTACACTCTATTAAACATCCATTTGGCTCTCGTGAATTCATGGTGCCAATTTTTTTGGGGGTCAGAACGGCTCATGCAACCCAATCTAAGTGCACACACCTAGGTCTACCGTCTTGTCAAATACACACGTGTTCTGCTTATTAGTTATTATGGCACACACTACGAAACCCGAGTGCACAACTCCGCCTGTCACATCCACCTGGATTGTATGCACACTCAACTTATAGTAAGTGCACACACGAAAATCATGTCTACGGAGAATGGATGTGTCCTTGCACACATCCCATTCTCTGTAGGCGGGATTTCCGTGTGTGCACTTATGGGGTAATGAATGTGCCACACATGCCATAGAAACCCTGAGCGCGTGCACGTTGGGTCAAATGTTTGTGCCACATAGCTTAACCATATACTGAGTAAATAATGAGTACAATGCTTCACTGGTCATGACGGATCATTAGGGAGTTCATCCGGGTGTTTGATGAATATTTCACCGGAATCAACGAAGTACTGGACTCCATAGTGTGAAGAATCAATGAAGCCTTTGATTCCTTTGGAGTTAAAGAAATATAATACTAGCTGGGGTTGTAATGTTACAAGATAACGACACTGGCCTACCGTGTCTATATGCATATATGCCTCTATATCTATAAGAGGCACCAAAATGAGTGTAGTTCCAGGGGAATCTACTACTTATGCTCAATATCGTTCATTGAAACCATGCCAAACACACATCGACATGGATGGCGTGATCAACTTGAATTCCAAAGCAATCTATCTACTACTTGTATGTATGTAAATATAAATGTAAATGTATTACTTACAATCCCTAAACAATAATGGGTAATATGTTGCAGGATACCAAAACATAAATCAGAACATAAACTGTGTGCCATAATATGCTAAATGATCAGTGTGTGAAAGAAAAAATGTAAAAGAAGTTGGTGTGCACTAAGGTTGAAGTGTGTGTGCCACGATGTGCAAAAATACTGACATAATGAATTGATAGAAACCAGGTCAATGTTACAGAGTACGGTGTACATGTATGTTAAAAGAGCGTGTCATAACGTGGAGAATGAGTGTGTGTATGAAAAGATGTAAAACAAGTAGGTGTGAGCCTTGGTTGTCCTGAGTGTGTCATATTGCCCAAGAATACTGTCTGAATGAATACACAAAAACCACGATGACGTGGTGGATTACATTGTGCATTTGGGTTAACTAGTGTGTGCCATAATGCTCAAAAAACTGATATACAAAATAACGTGCAAATATGATGTCCCACACACTGTATTTCACATGGCGCACATAAGAAAGCGAGTAACAATTAATACGCCATTCAAAACCACATGAAATACCCAATAATACACTGAACAGAATGTGTGCATGTAGACGTATACGAATGTGCATGCACCAACAGCCCCTAAACCTGGCCAATGTGCACTTGGGTTGAATTATGTGTGCCAAAATGTGCAATAATCCTGTGAAAATAAATTCACGAAAAAGAGGTTGGTGTGCACTTGGGTTGAAGTGTGCGTGCCGTAAAGTGCAATAATACTGATAGAAGGAATCCAAGAAAACCATTTTGAAATTATCGACTACGGTGTGCACTTGGGTTAAACTGTGTGTGGCATAATGTGCAGAATGAGTGTGTGTATGGAAAGACGTAAAAGAAGTATGTGTGCACTTGGGTTGAACTGTATGTGCAATAACGTAAATAATGAGTGTGAGGAAGAAAAGACATAAAACAAGTTGGTGTGCACTTGGGTTAACAAGTTTGTGCCATGATGCTCTAGAAAACTAATAGTTGAAATACCGTGTGCACTTGAGTTAACGAATGTGTGCATGCACAAATACCCCCCTAAACGTGTTTAACGCTGTGTGCAACATTGCAACAAAATGTCAACAAAAAAAAAAAAAACAAAACAAAACAAAACAAAAAAAAGCATAAAACACCCGAGGATTAAATATGAAACATCATAAATAAAATACATAAATGTACCTAAATGAACTAAACAAAAATACTGATAAACTAGTTCAAATGAGCACACAGATTACTAGCATTGTTCAACCGCGTCATGCTATTCAATTTCGCTACGTATATTCTTGGAATGGTGAATGTTAAACTCAACTGACAAAATCTGACGCATATAAGTCATCGTCAACCAATCAAGACCCCTACTATAACCCTTTTGCAAACCACAATCCCATTCATTCATCGATTGCCCCAAGAAGGTCTCCATGTGTCGCATCGCAAAAACACCACAATCCACTTTGTTATGTGCATCATGCCAACGCATCTACATCCTTCAAGGAACAAGCTTCCGTACGACAGCCCCACACCGATCATCAACCACATCGTCAAGGGACACAGACATCAAATCTTTCTGACAAAAGGGCGTACAACGATAGAAAATATTAGAAATCGAATGACCAACAAAATCAAACATAAAGGAAAAAAAGGTGTATAAACAGACGTAAAACAACTGTGTGTGCACTTAGGTAGAATTGTGTGTGCACTTAGGTAGAATTGTGTGTGCCATAATGTGCAACAATACTGTCTGAAGGAATTGACAAAAACTAGGTTGATGTGATAAACTAGGGTGTGCATATAGGTTAGTCTCTGTGTGCCATAACGTGCATAATTAATTTGTGTATGAAAATGAAAACACAATTCCAGATTCAAAGACATGAAAATATCAAGCATCAAAACTAATAACATAAAAAAAAAAATGGTACTCCCACCACACTCCAGGAATCCACAAAAATAAGAAAGAAAAAACAGAGCATAACTGCACACAATCCAACTAAAATGCACACAACAGAGGAAATTAGATACCACTGATAAATAAACAACGTAGAAGAACACCAAAATATTCGTGATACACACGATCTGGAAAATTGAGTTCTCACTACAGTAAACCTGCAAAGAACATATGGAAATGTAGGGCATATAACACTAACCAAAACTCAAGACCAATAATCAGATTGAGGATACCATAAAAATCGAATCTTTATAGCAGTGAAGTTGATAAAAATTAGTTAATTAAGCATTTCAAGAAACACCCAAGTCTCAAACTTGTCCACACAAGGGTATCCCAAAATCGGTTCAACTCCCAACATTCTGCAAGCATATATACACAACAGTAGCTTTCTAGATAATATGCAGTACAACCCAGGCTAGAATATATCATCAAAAGAATTCAAAGCAATTCAAGATCCTTCCAGTTTAAGGATTAGTTATGTCTAATAAAAAAAAATTAAAAAGAAACCCAAAATAGCAGCTTGGCTACATACCAAGAATTGGAATGCATGAAGAAGAAAAATCAGCAAAAGTTAATAAATTTCACTCACTTGATTGTTCGGGCTAAATGGTTGTTGAGTTGTAGGGTTGATGCAAATTCAGTTTTCTTACATTGATCTTATGACGTTGGTTCTCTCCAGTGGCGGTGGCGACGGAAGGAGGTGCGGTAGGTCGACGGCCATATCTCCAACCTCTAACGCAGCGAAACGGAGAGAATAGCATAGGCGTCAAAGGAGGGTTTGAGTTCTGTTTTTTGGAATGGAAAACCATACGACTTCTTCGCACAAGCCCACGCGATCAACTCTCAAAATGTCTAAACTACCCCCATTACCAAAAATAAAACAAATATAGCGGTAAAAAATCTTTAAAATTAAAAATAAATATGGACCATTGATCAAATAAAATATATGGCTATGATTAGTTCTTAGGTTCCTACCTAAAGATGGGTTCCTATATGATTGTAATTCTATATATATATATATAGTCGAGTTTAGGTGCGGCCGCGCCTTCCCGTCCGGTCAGTGCGGTCGCACCAATCGTTATACAAATATACATCATCTATGTTAGGAAATACATAACAAAAAACATGCACAAATTAGGTACGTATCACAAAAAAAAAAAAATGCACCATTAGATATGAATAAAAGCACCACACAATGTTCGGAAATATACCATTAGGGGTGGGGAGTTATATGGTGCATTTGTTTTTTGGTGTGTTGTGTGTTTTTTGGTGTATTTGTACATTTCATTGTTGTGCTTTTTTCCTAACACTATTGGTGTCTTTTTTTAACACTCTAACACTATTGGTGTCTTTTGTTAACATTGTTGGTGTATTTTGTTAAGCGGTCACACGGTCGCACAAGAGGGCGCGACAGCATTTGAACAAAAGTCTATATATATAATATATGTGTGTGTGTGTGTGTGTAACAGAAGTGTTTGACTAATTTTTCCCGCCCAAAGTTAGGGACGATTTAGATTTGGACAAAAATGTCATTTAAATTTAGTATTTAAAAACTTTAAATAATTAAATACACTTTCCTTTTGAAAAATCTAACAAATTATAATTATCACATTTTACACCTATAAATACAATGAAAACGTAACTATGTTAATATTTATTTCTCCTTTGTGATGATTCAACTTCAAAGCAATCTTCATCTTCTCCATCTACGGATGCTTCTGATCTGTAATTTGGAAAAACAAGTGAAGACCATTGCGGGAAGGAGCTCTCCTTGGTATACAGATTACAGAGTCTACAAACGTGTGCTAGCCCGTGAAAGCCGAACGACAAACCTCATAGAAATGCAAAACATAAAAAAAAAAAAAACGAAGATCCTGTACACCGTAAAACAAATACACAACACATCAAAGACTCTTTATTTTTGGACAAAGAGAACAATTATTTAAAATCGTTATTTTTGGACAAAGAGAACAATTATTTAAAATCGTTACTTTTGAACATTTTTTAACAACGGTTTTATTTAAAACAATTGTATAAAAAATTTAAAAAAAAACAAAATAATTGACTTTAATAGATTTTCTTTTCTATATATCTAGCTAACTTTATTACTTTTTAAATTGTGATTATTCTTTCTTGAATCACATTTGTAGTTTCAAATTTGTTACCTTATTTTATATTTGTCGTGGGCTTGTTTTGTCAAGCTAAGGCATGCCTCGAGTAGCATGTACATAATTTTTTGTTGGTTGTCAATATATATATACAGTCGCACTTCTATGAAAACTACTCTTAACGTGAGAATGTGAAGAATAATTTTGAGCATTAAATCAAAATAATTCACGATTAAGATTAAAAGGAACAAATCACATGATGGTACAAATACTTTTCTTAAATTACCATGGTACAACATTTTAATGTCATTGAGAAGCAAACAAAAAACTAGTGCAATACAACTGCAACTGAACCACATATTTCACTCAACAATTTCAGACTTGACCTCACAGCACAAAGAACACTATATAAAAGAACACACACCAACTAACAAAGCTCTTGCACTCAAACCTTTAAGAGAGCCTCCAGCAGCAAAAATGCAATCGTGTCATCTCCCGGAGTGGTATTAAGCTGATGCTCTTTCTCGTGAACTCCACGTGATGATTTTAAAGGTCTAGTAAGAAGAATCTTGAATCTTGCAAGAAGCACAAAAACACCGCTTCTTCATCACCTGGAAGGATGAGTTATGTGCGGGATTTTCCATAGAGCTGAGAGTAGACAGACTTTGTTCGGTATACAAGAAGCATGCTGAGAATAGCTGCAACGATGCAGAGGCCACACATTAAGAGGGAAGTCAAGAAGTAGCAAATAGAGCCAGTGCACTTGAGCGTTTCATCAGCAGTGAGAAGAGTTGACAGGACCGATCCCAAATTTGTTTGGGTGTTGTGAGGAGTTGCTTGGGCCTGCTTTTCGGCTTCTCTGTCGTATATACTGCTAGCAATGAGACCTGAGAAGACTAATGAGCCTGCGGGGTTGGCTAGAGTGAGGAAATTGTACAAGGCACCGAAGTTTCTTAATCCAAACAATTCGGAGGCAGCAGCAGGCACGATTGCCCAATGAGCTCCATAACCGACCCCAACCAAAAGAGTGCCAACATACATTGCCCCGGGCCAACCCATTGCAAAGAAGAAATGCCCAACCGCCATTATAACTTGGGCAATAGCCATGGATGCATGCCTTGGATAAGCATAATCCCTATTTAGCAATGAAAGGATGTTAATTTTGCTAAAACTAGTACAAAATCTAGAAACAATAGGGGAATGAATGAAACATGTATATACCTGACAATTATCTCAGAAAAGAAGCCACCCCCAACACGGCCAAGGAAGTTCCATATGCTGATCATAGAAACAAAAACGTGTGCGTTGTCGTACCCTAAAGATTCGCTCATTTGACCCAAGTTATCAATAACTGTTAAACCAGATCCAGACCCGAAAAGAAGAGAGAAGAATATAATCCAGAAATCGGCCTTGATCAAAGCCTGCATAAGGGTAAAGTCCTCCCCTCTATGAGGACCTCTCCTCCTTTTGATCCTTACTGCTCCTTCTGCTGCTGCTTGCGCTAGTTTCGCCTGCAGCTGAGCTATTCTTCTATGCCTTTCTGAAGCTGGAAGCAAGTCTACTTCCTTGGGTTTCTCGTCTTCAAGCTCACTGAATATAATCTCTTGTGTCACATCCTGTTCAGAATTGCCAGGATCTTGTTTTGGTGCCTCTGGGAGAAGTGGCTCTTCGGCTCCGGCTGGAACACTTGGTTCTTGGTTACAAGTCACGAAGATTGGGATCACAATGGGAACCAATAGAAGAACAAACAAAACGATGGTGAAAATCATTACATTTGTATTGCTGACATTTACTAGATCTTCAACAAGCATTACACCCATCAAGTATGCAGCCAGAAGGAGACACACACTGTAAATGAATGTGAAACTCAACCCATCAGTACTTCGGATCTGTCTGTGACCTCCAACAGGCCTGATCAAAAACATGAGCGAAATTATGACTATTGCCGGTCCAACTGCAATCATAAATACAAGCGAGGCATGATCCGGAGAATGGATTAGCGTATATATTTGTGTCAAAATAGCACCACTCAGTCCTGCAAAACCCTTGAGTATTCCCACCACAGGACCACGGCTTTTGGGGAAATTTTGCACCCCTGAGACAAGAGCCGCAGTATTAAAATAGGTCTCACCATTTGTTCCCACAAATATGAGAACACACATCTGCACATTTACAGTTAAATATGAATCATTTCAGCTAGTAATCTGTAATGTATAGAATGTGGAAACTGGAAAGCTCATTTTGTCCATTTCCTCCAAATTGGTTTCCAGTATAGTTAGATGTATAAGTCCCCTTATCAGTTATCATTAAGCACCAGATAAGCTCAAGAAAATAAAATGCAGATTTTAGGCTGAAACAATAAAAGAGAGGAAGGATTGTGATATAACTAAATCAAATGAAAACTTTAACCACAAAGCCCAAATTCCCTGCCACATAGATAGGATCCTACAAGGGTAAATCTGGCGACTCAACGGCCCTAGTGCCCACAAAAAACCCACCATATTGGGTGTAAACTGCCATATTTTTGTTCATGTATCTTTGTTCATAATTTATTACCCATAAACTAACTCAACTACCCGTGAAGACATTAAATGAAAACTATGATTGATTAGGACAAGTAGGCAAATAGAGTTCAATTTTCAATGAAGAGATAAACTTGTGTACTCGAAGCTTATCAATAATTCCAGAATCCAGATCAGATAAAATTAAATAATATTGATACAATCCAAATACAAGACAAAGACAGGAGCATCCAAGGTTAGAATGAATGAGTGGATGAAAGTGAATGGATTGATTGAAACTCACAGCCCATATTGGCAAGGCAGGAAGTCGGCCGGTGATGATGAGCCAAACCCAACCATACCCAACAAAATTCTGGGCAACACCAACAAGAAGAACAGCCCAGAGCGGCAAGATCTCAGACAAAGTTCCGGCCAAGAACCCGACACTGTCCCCCAAGTCCTTAGCCACACCCAGACTGGATAACTGCTTCTGATTGTAGCCCATAGTGCTCTTGATAATGGGCGAAATGCTCCCGAACAGATACCCAATCCCGGCGCAAGTCTGAACCCACATTGACGCCACGAACACCAGCCATCTGTTGCTGAAGAAGGAGTTGACTTTTTCCTTCAAGCGACCCACCATGATTGTTGCTACTTTATCTTGAGTCGATTTTCTAGCTTTGATCTTTCTCTGGGAGGTCGACAATGGTGTATTGCGATACGGCAGCTAGACTATAAGGAAACGTGGGAGACTTTATGAATGCACGTTTCAATAAGCCTATATCGGATATATCTGAAATCGACAGATTGTGTATGAATCATGAGCATTGAGTTCATATCTTGATGGAGGTAAGACCAAACTAAATTAAGAGGAAGGAAAAACCCAAAAACAAAACAAAACAAAACAAATAAATATATATATACCAAGTTGCTCCCTATGTGGGAAGTGGTATGTTTGAACCTATGTGGAGACATAGCTTGTATATGCCCTTCCCTTATAAAAATAAAAATAAAACAAGAATCAAAGAAATCGAATAAACTTTTTATTCTTTAAAATATTGTACTAAATGCAAAACAAAAAAACTTAAAATTTAAAACAATTAAAAATATATGAAAAAGACATTGTTCTCCCTCTAGGTTTTTCTCTCTAGAGTTCTCTCCTTCCCACCCTGGTTTCTAGGGTTCCCTGTCTACTTTCTCACCGTAAAGCGATTGTTCTTATCATTGTTTTTACGTTGGTTTGTTCTTTTCCCTAAGAAACCTCCGTTCGAACGTCTCCCTTCATCGTCTATTGGAGGATGATACTACGACAGTAGAGCTAAAGGCACAAGAAGCTTTGCTTGTGTAAAGCAGTTAGTTACAACCACCTTTCCCTCCCTTTGGTAGCTTGTATATATTAGGCTCAACTGCATGTAACAGAGAAACTAATTCATTCTTACCAACCACCATGAATAATATCTTCTTCCCTTCTTCTATTCTGTTTTGTTCCTTACGCTAAGCCGCCTCCCGTCATGGTATCAGAGCACCGGAATCTCTCCTACACCGCAGCAGTTTCCAGCATCGGAGAAACAAATCAAGGATCGCAAACGGCCTCGCCAATGAACCACTCGCCAAATCCACCTCCTGCGATGAATCCGCAAGGGAATCATCCACAAGTTCAGAGAAGCTACACAGAAGAGACGGAGAATCCTCTAGCCCTAAGCAACAATGATAATCCCTGTGCGGTGTTAGTCAGCCCGCAATTAACAGGGAGTTCGAACTACACCTCATGGAGCATATCCATGCGCATCACCTTGGAAGTCAAAAACAAATGGAGTGTGGTGGATGGACGATCGCAGCGCCAAACAAAAATTCTCCTCAGTTTCCAGCCTGGAGAAGATGCAACCTTATGATATGCTCTTGGATCTTCAAGGCGGTTCATCCTTCCATAGCTCAGAGCATCATGCATCTGCATAGAGGGAAGGAGGTTTGGGAAGATCTGAAGAAGAGTTTCTCACAGTGCGATGCGCAACGGATCTCTGGTTTACAGAACGAGATTTACAATCTCAAACAAGGTAGTCTCTCGATCAATGAATACTATACCAGGTGCAGAACCTTGTGGGAGCAGATGAACACGCTACGCCCTCTTCCAATCTGCAAATGCAAACCAAGGTATTCGTGTGATCTTGTAAAAAAATCAGAAGGGAAAGAGATACTGATCAATTGATATGCTTCCTTCAGGGGTTAAACGATGATTATGGAAGTTTGAAATCCAACGTTCTTGTCCTAGATCCTCTGCCGGAAGTGTATAAGGTCTTTGCAATGGTAGAAAAACTGGAGAGGCAGATCAATTTCAATAATCTGAGTCTAGGAAATCTTGATCTAAACCATGCTAATGCCATCCAAGCACATGTATATGAGGAGATTGTGGCAGCCCTTGCAAATGCTTATGGAAAATGAAACAATCCTGGGAAAACAGCCAAATGCACGTTTTGTGGGATGATAGGGCACACCATAGACAAGTGCTACAAAAAGCACGGATACCCTCCCGGGTGGGTATCGGAATACAAATCTAAAGGGAAACAATTTCAGAACACCACTGCCGCCATAGCCACAAATGAAAGCAATGCTATTACCAATCGGGAATTAGCCAAGAACAATTGCAGAGGCTAATTTCTCTGTTGCAAACTCAGAATTCCAGCCCAAGTACCAGTGCAGCAGTATCTCTAACTCCTTATTTTGAAGTCATCTCCGGTAATGAAGGCAAGTGCTCTAAAACATATGTCAATTATGTTAATCTATGTCCTTCTACTTGGATCCTTGACTCAGGGGCGACAAACCACATAGTTTGTTCTCTTGATTATCTTACTGACTATCATGAAATAACTGGAGTTGAAGTTACTCTGCTAACCGGACAACGTGTTGATGTCAAACATATAGGCAGTGTGAAGCTAAGCAACGATATTTTGTTGAAGGAGGCCATGCACATTCCATCCTTCAACTTCAACATAATTTCAGTAAGCAAACTAGCTCAAGACACCCCATGTGAACTAATTTTCTTGCTTGATCAGTGTGTGATTCAGGGAATTCATGGGCAGAGGACTGGTATAGCTAAGCGGGTAGGAGGATTATATATGTTGCTGGAGCCACCAGAACTCTCAAATAAAAGGCCTATGGTGCAATGTGCTAATGTTGATGTATGGCATAAGAGATTAGGACATTTTCCTGTCAACAAAATGCATTTAGTTCCCAGTATAGGCATGTCTAGCAACAAGAGTACAGTGTGTGATGTATGTCATATAGCTAAGCAGAGACTAATTCCTTTTCCTGTTAGCAACACCTCTTCGGAGGCTTGCTTTGATCTTATACATATAGATATTTGGGGCCCTTTCCCCATATGTACTCTTGAAGGTGAACAATATTTTCTAACGCTTGTTGATGATTACTCCAGATTTACATGGTTACATCTTATGAAGAACAAATCTGAGACTAGACACTTCATTCGAAAGTTTCATGCTCTTGTTTTCACACAATTTGGAGTACTGATCAAGATCATTCGCACTGACAATGGCCCCGAATTTAACATGGAAGATTTTTTCTATGAAAAAGGAATCATTCATCAAAAGTCTTGCGTTAATACACCACAACAAAATGCCATAGTTGAACGCAAGCATCAACATGTTCTAAACGATGCCAGAACCCTGAGATTTCAAGCCAATCTCCCATTGGAGTTTTGGGGTCATTGCGTTATGCATGCAGCCTTCCTTATCAATAGGCTCCCTTCTCCAATTATTGATTGTGCAAGCCCGTATAAAAAACTGTATGGAAAAGAACCAGATATCAGCAACTTGAGGGTATTTGGTTGCATAAGCTTTGCAACAACTTTACCACATGGAAGGCACAAGATGGCACCACGGGGAAGGAAGTGCGTTTTTATAGGCACACCTTCCAACACGAAGGGATATATTCTGTATGATATCATAAGCAAGGATATCTTTATATCACGGGATGTTACTTTTCATGAAGCTGAGTTCCCATTTTCTTCCAAGCACACAGACATACAGTCTTCAGAGCAGGAGCCTCCACTGCCAAACATTCCTATTGATACTTGTCGTCCTATCACACAAAATTCAAGATGTGATCAGCCAATAATTCCTGCTCAGACATCTCCACAAGCAGATAGTCCACCATCACCTCCAATGTTGGATGATTATGAACATAGTAGCACCAACTATGATACTCAAAGTGTGCCAGAATCCAGTCCAGTAGTACAACCAAGGCGATCTGATCGTCCTCGAAGAATCCCTAACAAATTACAAGACTACTACTGTGAATCTGCAGTTGCTAAAGGTTCCTCTCCTCACCCTTAATCTACTGTTATTTCGTATGATCTCCTCACAATACCACACAGGATATTCTCTATGGCAATCAGTAACATTGATGAACCAACCACATACACTCAAGCTGTTGAACATGAGTCCTGGAGAAATGCTATGGCTGTCGAAATAAAGGTTCTCAAAGACAACAACACATGGGTTCTAACAGATCTTCCTCCAGGAAAGAAACCCATAGGTTGCAAATGGGTTTACAAACTCAAGATGAAAGCGGATGGTTCGATAGAAAGGTACAAGGCGAGATTAGTCGCTAAAGGCTATACCCAACAGTTGGGGGTCGACTACATCGAGACCTTCTCGCCGGTGGCTAGACTCACTACAATACGAACTTTCCTGGCAATAGCCGCATCCCGGGCTTGGTACATCCACCAACTAGATGTCAATAACACTTTCTTACACGGAGATTTAAATGAAGAAGTCTACATGACTCTCCCACCCGGTTTTCAAGGGGAAAAATCAAACCAAGTATGCAAGCAGCTCCAGTCTCTCTATGGCCTCAAGCAGGCTAGTCGACAGTGGAACGTCAAACTCATCTCTGCTCTACTTGATATTGGCTTTCATCAATCAAAGTCGGATCCTTCATTGCTTACAAAACGATCTAATGAAACCTTTATTGCTGTTCTTATATATGTTGACGATATCTTAGTTACTAGCCCTGCTACGACTCTTATTAATGAGATCAAAGCCTTCAGAATTAAAGACTTGGGAGTATTGGGGATATTTCCTGGGAATTGAAGCACATCTAGACGACTCAGGACTAAATCTCTGCCAACGCAAATATGCACTGAATATTTTGAAGGAAACTGGATTTCTCAGCTGTAAGCCAGTGAGCACTCCACTAGTCTCCGGCCAACATTTAACTGAAGACAGTGGCGCTCCTCTAGACGATGTTGGCAGCTATAGACGCCTTGTTGGTCGACTTCTCTACCTAACCACCACAAGGCCGGACATCTCCTTCGCCGTTCAACAACTTAGCCAATTCATAGATGCACCAACAGTTGATCACTTGACAGCTGCACACCGCGTTCTACGCTACACTAAGAACGCACCCGGCCAAGGCATTTTTTATCCAAGGAATGATAAACTGCAGCTCAATGTTTTCTCGGACTCAGATTGGACCTCGTGTGTGGACATGCGAAAATCAGTCACCGAATTTTGTGTGTTCCTAGGCTCAGCTCTCATATCATGGAAAGCAAAGAAGCAAACCACTGTGTCGAGATCATCCTCCGAAGCAGAGTACAGGGCACTGGCTGCCACAGTGTGCGAAGTACAATGGATTTCATATCTCCTAGATGATTTGCAGGTGACTATGTCGAAGCCAACAACCCTGTTCTGCGATGGCAAATCCGCCATAGCTATAGCCGAGAATAGTGTCTTCCACGAACGCACAAAGCATATAGAAATCGACTGCCACATCGTTCGTGAGAAGATCACACAAGGCCTAATAAAGCTCTTATCAGTTCCCTTGGCAAGCCAGAC